AAAAACTCTTTACTGAATTCTTACTTTGCATTCAAAATGTGTAGGCTCTGTGAGGGATGGAGACTCTCCCTCACTCTCTCTCTCTCTGTCCATATGTGTGTGTGTGTGTGTGTGTGTCTGTGTTTCCTGCTCACCTGATTCTTACAATAAAAAGTTTCCAAACGGTAAAACAATAAAAGCTTCCAAATACAAAAGTAGGGAGCATAATCAGTAACAGAAAAAAAAATATGTATGTTATTAGGAGGTTATATTTAAGGTTTATAAAAAGCTTAAAGTTTCCATAGGCATGGTGTGTGGGGGGGTGGCATTTAATTACAAAAACTTAACTTAAGCTCACAACCCCTGCCAAAAAACCTAAACAAAACGGAGAGCTACAAAAAGCTTGTAGCCTTAAAAGTTTTGTGAGCACAGACATTTCGAGAAATTAGTCTATTTATAAATGAAAAATAATACTCTGTTTACATTTAATCATCAAGAGAGTTCGTATTCTACAAAAACTTATTGTTTTAGACTATAGAAGGAGATGTTTGATAATTACAGATCTATAATATTTTCTGTACTAAGTGGATCCTGAAAACAAATATCATTTGAACTTTTCTTGGATGAATAATTTTATATGCTAAGAAATAGATTTGAAGTGAAAGAAGTATGAATTGTTTGCGGAAAAAAATTCTTTGATGAAACTGTTCTGTTTTTAAATCAAGGTTTTTATCTAGAGTATACTTCAAAAGGATGCCATTTGATTTCAAGAGACAGTATGCACTTCTTGTGTAAGATCTCATGTCAGTTCAAACTCACTTGTTAAATTGTTTATTTTTATGCAGTTTATACTCAGGATGAAAAAGAACACAAAAGTAGTACAATAAGGAAAAAAATTATGAATTTCAGAAGTGATGAGCCGTGGTCTTAAAATATGCCATCAACATACTCTTTTGAGTAAAAGCCCCACACAAACCACATAATTATTTAATTTTTCTTCCTGCTTTTCATCAACACATATCAATATAGATTATATATTACACAGAATCAATCTTAAGTGTTGTGTATCTTAAAATATATATCCGTGCAAGTTATATATTATGATTCATAGAAGTTTTTAGTCACTTCTTGAAAAAATGAGATTATATCCTTTTTCAACTAATGGAATCTTGAAACACAATATGATTTGTACAAAAATGCATATTCTACTTTTCAAAAGGAAATAAAAATCTAGCTGAACTGAGGAGATTGTTTACATAAACTTCTTAAAATTTAAAGACACTGCACTGGCATAATCCCTCAAGTCATTCATATGTATGTGGGGAATAACGAGTGAAAGTACTAGAAAACATTCTACATTATGGATAAAATACACTTTTATTTAAACCTGTTGCAAACTCCTGCAGAAGGCAGTCTGATAATTCTCGAGAAGAAGAAGAAGAAGGAGGAGAAGGAGAAGAAGAAGAAATAAGAAGAAAGAAGGAGGGGAAGGAGAAGAAAGGACTCCTGGGTGGCCCAGTCAGATAAGCATCTGCCTTCAGCTTAGGTCCTGATCCCAGAGTCCTGGGATGATTCTTGCCCAGGGCTCCTTGCTCAGCAGGGAGGTTGCTTCTTCCTCTCCCTGCCCCTGCCCCTCTTTGTGCTCCTGCTTGAGCTCTCTCACTGACAAATAAATAAAATCTTAAAAGAAGAAGAAGAAGAAGAAGAATAAGAAGAAGAAAAAGAAGAAGAAGAAGAAGAAGAAGAAGAAGAAGAAGAGGAGGAGGAGGAGGAGGAGGGGGAGGAGGAGGAAGAAAAAGAAGAAGAAGAAGAAGAAGAAGAAGTAGAAGAAGAAGAAGAAGAGGAGGAGGGGGAGGAGGAGGAAGAAAAAGAAGAAGAAGAAGAAGAAGAAGAAGAAGAAGAAGAAGAAGAAGA